CAAATCTCCTCTGGCCCTGACTGTAAGGACATGCAATTCTGGGAATTTGGCCTGGTAGCCATGCTCCAGGGTCAGAAATATTTGATCTGCTAAAATTCAGTCCCCCTTTGCAAGGCTGGGGAAAAGGTTTGGATTTTTAGTTGTTTTGTTTTGTTTTGTTTTGGTTTTTTTTTTTTTATTGGTTGTTCAAAACATTACAAAGCTCATGACATATCATCTTTCATACATTTGATTCAAGTGAGTTATGAACTCCCATTTTTACCCCAAATACAAATTGCAGAATCACATCAGTTACACACTCACATTTTTACCTAATGGCATATAAGTGACTGTTGTATTCTGCTGCCTTTCCTATCTCCTACTATCCCCCCTCCCCTCCCCTCCCATCTTCCCTCTCTACCTCATCTGCTGTTGTTCAATTCTCTCCCTTGTTTCCCCCCCCCTTTCCCCTCACAACCTCTTATATGTAATTTTGTGTAACATTGAGGGTCTCCTACCATTTCCATATGCTTTCCCTTCTCTCTCCCTTTCTCTCCCCCAACTCGTCTGTTTAATGTTAATCTTTTCCTCATGCTCTTCCTCCCTGTTCTGTTCTTAGTGGATTTTTAGTTTGTGTGTGTGTGTGTGTGTGTGTGTGTGTGTGTGTGTGTTTGTGGTGGTTGTGTTTCAGCCCAAGCCGTGAAATGTGATTGTCAGCAGAAAACGGCATGAAGGGGAAAACACTGGGAGACATAAAACAACAACATTAACAGGCATGCTCATCCTGTCGTGAAAAGGCTGGTATTTAAAGAAGACTTGCTAAGGGCCAAGTCTGAGCCCAGTGCCCCACAGTGGTCATGCTGCCAATTCTTTTTCATCACCTCTCTGTGGCAAGAGCACATGTTATCTTTGACTGGAAGGGTCAGAGGCTCTGAGAGGTTAAGTAACTTGCCCAAAGTCACACAGGTCAGAGCAGTGTGAAGCAGGGATTCAAAGATACTCTTGATTCCTCTACGGTGCTCCTCCTCCCTGGGGTTCTCCCCTCACCCTGGGGTGGCCACATGGAGCTTTCTGGGCCTGGTGTTGGAGCTCCTGAAAGACAGCCCAGGTCAGCTCATCACAGTACTTTGAATAGGAGATCCCTCCAGACAGCTGATCCTCCTGACACTCTCTGTCAGTGCTCTGACATTCTTTTATAAAACCCATTACAGGAGAAATGGAGCCTTGGGCATCCTCTCCTCCTCTCTCCTCCCCCTCTCACCTGTTCCCCTCTGGCCTACAGTTGGTTACAAACCTCTCTTGCTGTCTATTTACCTTTTAATAAACCCCATCTCCTTTCGGAAAGCTGCTTAACACTGCACCACTTAATTTCTCCTCCAGGCGGAATCTGCCAGATGGAGCCTTTGTCCCAAGCCACRTTGATTTGTCTTATTTTTAAGCAGCCCTGAGCATCTCATGAAACCAAAATAGCGCTCCGTTCCCAGGTGAAGATTCACTGAGCAGGGGGGACCATCAAGAGTGTACCAGTGCGTCCACCTGGGGCAGCTGTTCCAAATGGGCTGGATTAATGAGGGAACGGCTCCCACAGGCGGCTCCCAGCCAGCTGCTGGTCGCATCTGGGCGTCACTCAGTGCAGACGCTTGCTGCTTTTACGCCTCAGCTAGATTCTGCCACTTGTGTCACCTCTGCTGGCTTGACCCCTTCGGGCTGTGCATCCCTGGCTTCTCCACAGTCCTGATAGCTCGGGGGACAAAACAGACTCTGGAGAATTGGGTGACAAGTACAGAGTGACCAAATGCAAAGAGGACATGTCCCTCAAGTCTCTCTTTTTAAAAAAAATACCCCAAAGTCCTATCACATTTGCCTGATTGTACAGCATAACTCTAGTTAGCTCATGATAGATGTCATGGTTCAAATTGTGTATCGGCTCAATCCTCCCAAAGCACAGTTTTTTAAACGAACACCCTGAAATCACATGGGTGCCCTAGTGTCACTTCTCCTGACAGGGTGTTCTGGGAGAGGTATACACATTTGCCTATTTGAGAAGGGCATTCTCTGTCTTGGGGAGGGCCTGCCCCCAGAAAGGTCCCTTCACTGCCAGGTGCCATCCTAAGGAAGAGAAGACTTCACCTAAAGGAACAGCAGGGCCTCTGCTGCCAGTTCAGTGGGGACTTCCTTGGGACCCAAGGAATGATATACAGAAGACAGGCTCAGATCTGACTTATGGCTTGTGGGTGGCTCCTTGATCTTGTGTGGCCTACATCATGATGGGGATTGACAAGACGTTTCAGTGCAGTTCCCATAACGGACTGTTCTTGAACTTGGACATGCCCTAAATTCATCTCCGAAGTCCTCCACCTTCYGTCATCTTACTAACCCATGTCCCACAATAAGCAGTGGAAGGAATGAGTGAGATTCAACATTCACAGAGGGTGGTGCTTCAGGCACCAGCTCACCGTTTGCCAAAAACCTTCAGAAACAGCGTCCTCTGGAAGCACTGGCCATTGGGATGGTGTTCAGAGTCGACGGTGTTTTCCCTAAATCCAAGTTCCAATACCAGGTGGAATGCTGAGATTCTCCCAGGCATTCTCCAGTGGAACATGGCAGCTAGAAGGGGCTGGGAAAGGGGGATGCTGATGTGTTATAGATAATCCTCGGTTCCTTGGGGGACGATTTTTGCTACAATATTTAAAAATTCTTCTCTTAAGCTTTTTCTCCAAAAGAAAGAAAAATTTACAATAGAGAACCAGTCCCCTCTTGACTCTTGAGATTCCTTTTCTCACTGACGTTAGGAGCCTTTCCAGTGCCTTTAAAGAGCTTTATACTTGAATATTGATCAGGTGATCCCAGAGCGGCTTTGAAGAGAAAGCTACTGTCCCCAGAGCCAGCGGAAGGACCATAAAGTGTTTGACAGTCACAATGGCAACGCGTGGTGGTGAAGTATCTGACCTAAATATATAGACAAGCATATTTTCAAACATATTTCTGAAGTGACAAGGTCAGAAAACCATGGCAACCACCCCTGTTCTTCATTTTTTAAAAAAGTGATATTCAGCAGAGTGGTATTTAATAGATTGAGATGATCAATTGAAAGGTGCTTGGAAACCTGTTATATGCTTTTTGCATGAAAGAAAGAATTCTCATTAAAATGCTACAGACGCTTTACTCTCCTCGGCCACCAAATATGCAAAAATGGTCTCGGTAGTCACTGGGGTGACATAGCCCATGCTTTGATTCAACTGAGTCTGCTGCATTGAGTCCCCAGGGCCATGGGCCACTGCCAAAGAACCCTGAGTGATAAGCTAGTTCCCCAGTTCCAATGTCCCTGTTTATTATAGACTGATCAATTTTTTCTTCATCCTTCCAAATGGAAGCACCTTCATTTCAAGGGCTTGAGGGAGACTCCTGGCAGGACCTTTTAGGACCAGTAAGATGGACTCTTAGCAGGGGAGCCCCAAGAAAATAAGACATCAAACCCCTCAACCTCCCAGGTACTTTTGTTCACATGCCTTTCTCTGTGAAAGAGTGGCCTTGTCCTGCCCAAGGCAGCTTAGATTCCAAAAGAAACAGTAACAAGCCCAGAGAGGGCAGCATCCATGTAGAAACAGCAGGGGAGTCGGGCCTCTCCAGACCACTGCCTTTGGAGACCCCCAGCTTCAAGCTTCTGGGACTCAGGTAGAAAGACCCCCATGTGGAATACTGGTTTGGCTCCAAATCCCAGAAGAAGAACGTTCCAAATGCAGCCTTAGAAGATCCCACACCTCCAGGGCAGATCTTCAAACTCATGCAAGAAATAATTCAGGACTCGTGGAAGGTTGAATTTGGCCTGGCCTGTGTTAAGGTTTCATAGGACCCTCTCATGAGGACCTAGAAATATTTTTTTTTTTTAAAGGCAGAAGATGGGATGGGTCAGACTACCCAGGAGAACAGAATTACTTAAATGTTCTACTAGGCAGAAGGAAGACTTTCTGGACCAAGAGCTCTATGGAAATGGAGTGTGTTGCCTTCAAAAATGGGGAGATCCTGTGGGGCACCTGGAAAAGGCTGAACACTGGATGCCACCTGATGGCATCACTGTCACGTTGGGTTCAAGCTCAGGGCTCAGCCCTCATTTTTTGTGAGACTGTGAAAATTTTTGTTTTGGCCCTCAATTTCCTCATCTGGGAAATGGGTATGATAAAATCTACACGATGGATCATTATGCAACTGAACAAAACATTCGCCCCCATGCTCAGCAAATTAGAAATGCTAAATTTTCAGTTGTTACCGCTACTGCTGAGATCTCAGCTTGACAAACTGAAAGGGAAGATAAAGCATGTCTTCCCCTCGGCTTCCCCCAACCCGTCGAAATTCCTGTTGCCTTCTTCCTAATGCCCTGACTACCTCAGGTTTTCTATTTTATCACTGTTTCAAATATTCCTAAATAATGACCAATATCCCCATCCCTCTTTTTTTTTTAACTCTATTATCTTACTTTTTATTTTTATGTGGTGCTGAGGATCGAACCCAGTGCCTCACACATGCTAGGCAAGTGTTCATCCGCTGATCCCCAACCCAGCCCCCACCCCACCTCTCCTAATGCCACTCTCCCCCCCCACCCCCGCCCATGATCAAAGCAATCTTCTTTGCAAACCTTTGCAAAATCTCTTTTCTTCAATGATTTCTGGTTATATAAATGAAGAGTTCACTAAAATAGAAGTAGAGTTCATTTTCTTCTGGAATTTTTCTCCTGTTAAGAAGCAAGGGCTGAGCACAGTAACCTGGTCAATAGTTGGCAGTCAATCAAAATGCTAAATCATCACCAGGAGAAATCTTTCCCTGGTGGGATTCTACAAACCAAGTCTAGGTCTTCGAGAGAGATCATAAGGGTGGTCTTCTGGGGGAAGGTAGAACCAGAGCAGTCTCGTGACAGGCTGACCAGGGAGGTTGCTAAGTGCTGGCGGGACCTTCTTCCATTCATTTATTAATTTTTTGAGGAATCTTAAAGCTCACTGAGACCCCTGTCTTTTTCGTCCCCCAAGAAAACAGCAGCGCTACGTGCAGAGGTGCTGGAAGGACGTGCGCGTGGGCGACTTCATCCAGATGCAGTGCAATGAGATCATCCCTGCGGACACACTCCTCCTCTTTTCCTCAGACCCCAGCGGGATCTGCCACCTGGAGACGGCCAACTTGGACGGAGAGACAAACCTCAAGCAAAGATGTGTCGTGAGGGGCTTCTCCCAACAGGTAGGACTTTTCTAAGCTCTTCAGTGGCAAGGTCAGAGGGAAGAAGCGAGCTATTTCTACTGGAAAGTTAAACTGGAAGGTAGTGCAAACAGGACTGGATGCCCCTGTCCCAAGCACCTCAGAAACACTTCATCCTCCCAGCACCCCTGTGAGATGGGAAGAGTACCCATATCGCAGATGAGGAAGTTGAGGCTTTGTTAAATGGCTTTCTGAAAGTGTTCAAGTTCTCTAATGCAGACTCACTCTGAAAATCCAGGAAACTAAAGGCTGTTCAGTTGCTGTAGGGTCAGCCACTCAAACACTCATTCTGCTCAGTCCAGCTGTAGTAGCCACTMCCTCCTTGAATCTTTAATACTCCGTTGGCCACTTCTAAGCAGCAAGGAATAAATAACTATTTTCCACTCATGCATGCCTTCTCAACAGTCCCGAAGCCTCTCTGAGTTCAGGGAGCCATTGTGCTTACATCAGTGGTTCCTTGGATGTCATGGAGAAGCTATTTTGCACGGTGGTTACCAGCTCAGACTCTTGGGATCGATAGAGCTGAGTTTAAGGATTAAACCCTGCCACTTACAACCTGTCTCACCCTAGGCAACCTATGACCCTCCCACACCTTAGTTCCCTCATCTAGAAAATGAGGACAAAAATCATACCCTCCCCACAGGGTTATTCTAGAAGACGAAATGATATGCACACAAATGACTTAGCACGAAGACAGAGCACAGGGAGAGACTGGTTAATAATTGGTACTAATATCGATGACTTTAGTAGGCAACGTGTGTGGACTCACTGAAGCTGGGTGTCACGTTCCAGTTTTCATTATAAAATTCCCCTTATAGGTGTTGACTTCCAATCTGTCACCTTTATCTTGTCATAGAAAAGAATAAGATTTTTCTGGCTTCTCTTCACTCCACCAGCCTGTGGCTTAGGAGAAATTGAATGAGTCACAGGATTCTGGAGAAAGAAGGCCAATGGTCCGTTCCTCAGAGAGTCTCCTGAGCAGGGGTGCAGCTGTCTAGACTGACTCTTCTCCAGAGTTCAGCTCACCCTGCCCCATGCCACACTCCCTGGTGAACAATCCTCACGGTTTATTGTGTGTGATTGATCTAATTCTCAGAAGTCTGTGGTCTCCTCCTCTATTGTTTAATGCTCAATGTTTTAGGTCTCTCCACACTTTTACTGGTGCATAATAGTTGTTCCCAGTGATAGGACTTGTTGTCACTTATTCATATATGCACACAATACAGTTTGGCCAATATCATTCTGCAGTGTTTCCCTCCCTTGGACCTGTACCTCTCTTAGACTTTCATGAGATATCATTACCATGCACTTTTCTTTTCCTTTTTTCCAAATTTCACAGATGAGAGAAAATATATGACCCCTGACCACCTAAGTTTGGCTTTTTTCACATAACAGAATGCAGGCTCCATTTTCCTGCAAATTACATAATTTTTGTCTCCCTCTTTCAATGGAATGCTCACAGCTACTCCAGGGATTTGCTGTGAGAGTCAACGGAGACAGGGAGAGTAAAACAACAAAACAGAGGGCTTGGCACCTGCTGAATACACAGTAGGGGCCAACTACTACTGCTGCACTGGAAATGGGCTTGTCTCACCCCTCTACCCCCCTACCCCTGTCATCACACTGCCACTGTCACCACAGCGTCTGCCTATTGGGCAGTTCTGGAACTAGGCATTGGCCCCTGAGTCTCTCCCTCTTTGCTTGTCCCTCCCACAGTCACTGAATCACCCCTGTGTTGACGAAAAGGCAGGGTGAGATCTGCTCTGAGTTTACCAAGTCAGCCTCGCAGAGCAGCAACAACCTGCCCTGGCTTCAAGGCCCTGTGGCCTGATTTCTTGGCCAGAGGTTTTCAAACCTTTCTACTCGTTTTTATTTACAGGAAGAAATATATATTACACACATGTGCAGAACACTGACGTCTTGGCCTGACTACTACAATGAGGCTCTCTCTCCCCCTCCCCCCGTCCTCCCTCCTCCTCCCTTCCTCCTCCCTTCCTCCTGCTTCTTATAGTAAATTTCTGTTTGCTCACCAATCTCGCCCCTCAGCCTCCATAACCCCGACATTCTCATCCAGTTCTGAACCGTTCTGAACTCTCCTCTGGCAGTCATGCCAATGCTGTTGCCTTGCAACCAGTGACTTCATCTTTGGCGGTAGCTCCCAAACCGTTCCATGCATGTTAATTAGATGGTTGGGGATTAGGATGAAGTCGGAGGAAAGGATCATTCACACTCGCTAGACCAGCCAACTCAGTAAGTCTCTCAAAGTCTCGCCCTGAATTCTCACGGGGCACTTGGCTTGAAAAATAAAGTCAATTCACTTGTGGAAAGAAGAGTTCTAGGAGCTTGAAGTTTTCCAGAGTTCCCTACTATTGGATTAATTCTCCTTCTCCTTTTGTTCAAGAGCATTTTTAATACAATAGTGAACTGGGGCCCATACTGAGGGCTTTGCATGGTTATCTCGTTTATCCTCATGACAACACAAGAGACAGGAACTACCACTGTCCCTTCCGAGCAATAAGGAGACTGTAGCGCAGAAAGGTCACGTAACTCACCCACCATCACTGAGCCAGGGAAAGTGGGAACTAGGACTCAAAGCCAGGTTTGTCCAGAGCCTCAGCTCTTAAAGTCTGCACTAGTTCATTTCCATGGCTATTTGACTGTGACCTGAGTTTACCCAGAGATGCTAACTTGAAAGCAAGTATTTATTATTTTCAATAATCTTTTCACACAAAAATAGCAGGTGGCACAAAGAATTAAAGTAATAGAACTAAAGAATTAAATCTCAACCCACTGTCTGGGCAATTGCGTTAGCTGCTCTTTGCTACCTTGTTTCTCCCCTCTATCTTTAGTGCAAAAGACATATGGATAGAATATGGATAGAACTCACTTTGGGCTAACACTATCATGTAGGATCTCTCATGATAGATGAGAGATGAGAGATGACCACGTTGGTCAAACATGCAGATGAGAGTTGCAAGAAAAATGTTGCAAGGTCAAATAAGGTGAGAAGACAATTTAAATATTGTGTGCCACTCACCTTCTCTGATACTTGAATAATCCCCAAGGAGGAGAAGGGCCAGGTGCCAGTGAGTGGCCTTTCTCAACATTTAAGAACAGAAACCTTTTATTCTAAGCAACGTGTCCCAGAACCACCATAGGAAGAGTAGCATCCCCACTTGAAGATTTGCTGCAGATATATTACAGGAGCTTAGGGTGCACCCCAGTCATCACTGGGGAAGCTTTAAAAACACACATTCATCCTGCCCTACTGCCACCACTAAGTTACAATTCACTGGGACTAAGTAGGGGCCGAGCATGATGATCTTGATATGAACCCACCATCACCTCTGTTTTAGCCAACTTTTCTACTGCTGTGACCAACACACCTGAAAAGAACAATTTTATAGGAGGAAAAGTTTATTTGGGGGCTCACAGTTTCAGAGGTCTCAGTCCATAGACACCAGCTCCATTCCTCAGGGCTCCAGGAGAAGCAGAAAATCATGGTGGAAGAGTGTGACAGGGGAAAGCAGGTCAGGGCATGGCCTCCAAGAAGCAAAGAGACTGTATTCACCAGATACAAAATATATACCCCAAGAGCATGTGCCCAAGCCCCCCACCTCCAGCTACACCTTACCTATCTTCAGGTACCACTCAGTTAATCCCCATCAGGGGATCAATTCACTAATTGGGTCAAGGTTGTCATTACACAATCATTCCACCTCTGAATGTTCTTGCATGGTCTCACACATGAGCTTTGGGGGACCACTCATATCTAAACCACAATAACCTGCTTGAAGACCCTTGAAACCCTTGAAAAAGGAAGGTGCCACCTTGAGTCCTTCCAAAAGCCACTTAACCATGATGAGAACAAAACCACATCTATGTGCTTTATCCTGTGTGCCTGTGATACGTTGTCCCGTTTAGTCCTTACACCTACCCTGTAAGGTGGCCATCGCTATCCTCATTTTACACATGAACACTCCGTGAAACAGAAAAGGTGAATCTTACTCATGGTCTCAGAGAAGATTCGGAACCCCTACAAATACGAAATGTTTGGAAACTTAATGTCTTAAATAATGAGTACAAGGGCTCTCATTGACTATTTCCCTCTAAATCTCGCTAGTCTGTGTGACCTTCACCTTTCCCAAAAGGGTTTTAACTAATAACATAGATTTCTAGAAATTCCCCACCTCATCCCCACACAAAATTTTCACTGTCTTGTGRATGACGAGAGATCACTAAATTCCGTTAATTCAATGTTGGCTTCCCTAGATCAGCATTTCTCAAGGCCCAGGACACAAAACACTTATCCCAAGAGACAGGTTTTGAAAAATATGGTTCCTGGTCAAATCAAATTGGGAAGCCAATGTCTTGGGACACTCCCCCACTTGGAAGTTCCAAAGTTCATGAATATATGAAGTTCTCTAAGTAGTACTGGGGCAACCAGGTGTGTTAGACATTAATGCTGAGCTCTCCAAACTATTTGAATAAACTTTTTCAGCACAAATACTTATTCACATTCCTATGGGAATACTTATTCACATTCCTTTTTGGGAAAGATTTACCTGAATTGTGGTTCAGACGTGATCCCAGGGGATGAAGAATGATGGAGAAGTTGACAGCCCTCTTGGCCCATGAGRTTCATGCTTCCCTTTCCTATTTAGGTTCAAATGGAATTACAAATAAAGAGCCCTGGAAAGGGTCTTCTTTCCATGACACTGTGGTTATAGAGTTGGTTTCAAAATCCTTTTCTCAGAATCCAACTCTGGATCAAACCAATTACTTGTTCCATTGAAGCCTTTATCATGATATGCACTATCTTTAAATTCACAAAATTATGATCTGCTTGTGAAATATTCATTCCCATCTCATCTCGTGAGGGAAAGGGATTAGGATTAGGATTCTGGTAAATTCCATTGCCCAGCAGGCAACAGGACTCGATTAGAGCATTAAATTGAACAGTTTTATTTGTGGTGGCATTC